TTCGCATCTTATTACCCTATCGCATTTTATTATCCGACGTATGGAGACGCTCCTAAACCAATAAGACATTATCCCTAATTAGGCGACCAGCAATGAACCCACTCTGTTGTGGAGAGATAATGCTCGGTAATAATGTACTCAATCTAGTATTCAAAAGCTTAGTAATAAGCTTATTGAACACAATACAAAGACTAATATTCTGAAGTCGGTCCATCTACAAGCACCGTCCCTCTTAGGGAGCAAAACTATAGTAGTAGTAGCAAAACCCCGTGGGAGATGGCCGCCTTTAAAGAAATCCAATACTGCCTTGTATACATCATCCTGAATAATGTCCCAACAGTGTTGGAAGAATTAGGATGAGAATCCATTCGGTCCGACAGCACTGTCAGCGTCTATACTAAACACTGCCTCTCGAACCTCGTGAATCAAAAGGTTGCGATTTAGTGCCAAATTGTCATCCTCCATCAAAAGCCTGAGGATGATATTAGGGCGAAGGAGGTCCAACGACTGTGTAGGAGCAGATAGAAGATCCTGGTAGAATGCAATAGCTGAAGTTTGAATGTCAGGAGGAGTTGTTAAGACTACCCCTGCCTACTTCCTGATGGACCTAATACAAGATTTGATTCTACGTCCTTGAACCATCGTATGGAAATAACGAGTATTGTGATCTCTTTCACATACCCAACGTGAATCGGCCTTTTGCTTCCAAAAACCCTCCTCAATAGATAAGGTCTGATTCAAAACTGCATATTCCTGATGTAATAGGTCACGATGCTCCAGTATAAGGTCTCTATCATAAATTGTCTCAGCAACATCCACCCTATCCTTAGCATCACGCACCCATTGGAAAATATCTCCAAACACTTGTCTATTCCACCAATGAGGTCCCTGTTTCAGCTTAAAGAACTTCTTCCAAAGAGCAGCCATCCCTATAAAACGAGTAGGGAGTGACCACTTTTGAGTGACAAAGAATGAAAAATCATGATACTTGGTCTAAAAGTTGAGGAATCTGAAAGGTCTAGGACCCAGATCATCATCAGAAACCCACTGAAGTAATAAAGGCGAATGATCAGATGAAGTCCGATTCAAGTGCCTCACTGTAAGCTATCGACAGAAAGCAGCAGCTGTAGAATTAATGAGTACCCTATCTAGTCTCTTTCTGACTCGACTGTTGGACCAAGTATACCGATTCCCTAGGAAACCAGCATCCTCTAAACCATAATCTAACATCATATCAGAGAAAGTAGTAGTGCCTCGATCACGAGTATTATGACCAGTGCGCTCCCCATCATGAGAAATAACGTTAAAGTCTTCCTCAACTAACCAAGGGTTGTCCATATCGAGAGAAATGTGATGAAGACCCTCCCACAAATCCCTCATGATAGTTACATTGCATGAAGCATAGACATGAGTTAGATAGATAGGACGTGCTAATCTGGGATCCTCAACTCTTACGTGAAGGAACTAGGGATGATCAACAATAACAGTAACAGTAGTACTCGCATTCCAAAAAAAACCAAATCTTGTTCGCCTCATTCTGAATTCCCGTGTTAAAGCGCAGATATCGTCGAATATAAGCAAATCTATGCTGAAAAACAAAAGGCTCCAAAATAACCAAAAGATAAACTTGATGAAGCTGAATAAGTCTCTTCAGGCGCCGACAAGTAGGTACATTAGCTACACCTCTCGTATTCCATTTAATGGTACTCATCTGGATGTGCATAAAGAGGTGTCTTGTGACTGACTCCTGGTTACCATCCTAGGAATTGAAGTATTGGTGGCTTTCGCATTTCGTTTTCGACCGACTTGAACAAAACCATCCTCCTTTGTCCTAGTAGTCATGCCTGCCAAGTCATGAGCTGAAGATTGACGATATGGACCTTGTTGATGAACTTCAATATGAGAAAAAACCAGAATCGGACTAATCTGTGGATAAGAAAACCTCCATATTCTGCTAACAATATGCATAGATAACACGAGCATCCGTCTCCATAAAACCCTATGGCCTCTTATCTACCAAGAGAGGGTCAAAATATGTAGGACTGACCATCATAAGTGTACTGCTGATAGGGTCTAGAGACTGAACTGCTAACTGATGAAATAATGTAATAACAGGCGAAATCTGAGTATCCATCCTAATGGGAGCAACTGTAGAATGATCTGATGGTGGAGAGCTAGTAATGTGCGGAGCAATATGAATTATAATAGGTGGAGCAATGTAAAGACTAGGAGTCGTATGGGTAGCTGCTAACTGTAATATAGTAACTGTAGTGACTGGAAAAATAGGAGCAATAGTTGTAACAGTTTGAATAGTAGAATGATAAATCATTTTTGATGTACTATCATGTCTCATCTGGTTCCTCTTAACAGGTGTCCACCTCATGCGAGGGAAGGTTACAACTTCCTTATCCTGACCCTTTTCTTTGGCCGGAACAGGAGTAGCCCTATGGTTAAGGTCACCAATACCTGGGGCCGCAGGAGGTGGAGCAGAATGGGAACAACTAAAACACTTCGCGTCCAGATGACCAACGTGTCTGTATAGAAAGCAAAAGTCTGGCACCTTATCATACACCATGGGCTGCCAATATCCACCCCATTTCTCTCACTCAATCCAGACTATATCAGGGAGTCTACATTCCAAATCAACCTCAATACAAACCCTAGCTTCACTAGGTCGATGAAGATCAGAGGTTGCTTTGTCAATATGAAGGGGGAGCCCAATAGCCTTAGCTATGGTAAAAAGGGCACTCTTATCTCGAAAATGAATAGGAAGCAATGGGAATGACACCCAAACAGGAGTAATAGGAACCTCATACTATTGGCTAAAGTTAGGAGTCCATTTAAAGACATGCATTTGACAACCATCAATGTACCAAGTAGGTTTGATGAATAATCGTGAGTAATCATCATCGTGCACCATATGAATAATAATGTGTGCATCATCAATGAGGCCAATCTCATAATCACCGATAAATCCAAAGCACATAAATTTTTCTTGTACCTCATTCATAGATGGTTTGCGATGCACAAATTTACCAACAAGGGTAAACCTGTATGCCTCGGCTAGAAATAGCTCATCTGATTCATCAAAGAATACTGCAGGCTCTCCATGGTGAATATATGGTTCCTTCGAGACCAAGCTCCGATATCTGGAATCCTCTGGAGCACGAAGGACGTGTGCAAATGATTTCTTCTGGCTCCTCTCAGCCTGTGTGATCGAGGGTTTGCAATTGAGTACAGCGGCATACGATCGAGGGGCTTGGGAGGCTCCCGTAACTCCAGGAAAAGGACCAAGTGTCTTAACTAAGTTCTGAGCCGGCAAAGGAAGGCCAGGTCTATTTTTTACTTTACTGGTCTGCTGAATTAGCTCCTGAATACCATTGACCAATTTGGATGCAGCTCGATCAGTTTTAGGTAAAACCCGAGGAGGAGGATCATAATTAGAGGAGATTTTCATCGAGCTATTGGCTGGTGGCATAGACATCGAAGGTGTAGTGGTAGGAGCAGAAGTAAGTGTTGGTGGTACATTTGAAAGTGAACAAAATTCAACCGCCATGTGTGTAGGAATGTGATTGGAATTCAATTGACCATCAATACTACCAATTGACTCATTACCCATAATCATAGGCCCTTCAATAGCATTTGTGCAAGTCAAATTTGGTGCCATAACCTCAACTTCAGTACCAATTGAAGAATTAAAGGCAATTTCACGTTCATGCATTTGTGAAGAATTGATTTCAGCAATTTGAGCACTAATTGGATCAATTGGCTGTCGACCCATAGCACTTTCATCATCAATTGAAGTCCCCCCCATCAAATTAATCATTCAGAGCAGTGAAGGATCATCAAAATTTTGAAAACCAAATTTTTTGCATAAATCGCTAATGGCAGCCATCAATTGACCATGGCTTGGATGTGATTGGCAAAGACCTATTACTGGGCTAGGTGCGCTAGGTGAAGGTGAACCTAGCCCAAGTGGTCCGCCTCCATGGGAGCTCCAGCCAGTGCCGGAAATTGAGTTCTTCACTGGCAGAATCGCGAATTTCGCGACTGGGCAGTTTTCAGAATTAAATTCAGCCTATTTAAGAGATGATTAGGATGAATTACCATCATGTATAGGCTTGTCTGGATGTGGGGAAAAGGCCAGCGGTGGTCCGCTGCCATGGGTGTGAACACGAGCGTCGGAATTCACGTTCTTCTCAAGCGAAATCGCGACTGGCGAAAAACTTGCTGCAAAATTGAGTTACTGTGGAATTTTTTGTAGTGAATTGATGGCATGGGTAGGAACGACCAGTAATGGGCAGTCGTCCAGTGGTGGGTTCCGGCCATGGGGGTGGCCGGAATCTTGTTTTTCAGCGATTTTCATTTTTTCAGGCATTTTTTTTCAAGGCTCAATTTCTTGCAATTTTGTGGACGGAATTTCTTGAAGTTTGGTGGTAATGGAAGCTGATGTAAGGGGCTTTCCTATGGTACAAAAATCCGGTGGTTTGTGAGGTCGATCAATGTCGAAATTTTGGTGCATTTTTTGGCAATTCTAGAGAGAATGGAAAGCATTAGGGTTTTAATCAATTTCAGCCTTTTCCAAGATGTGAATCTCTATTTTGACTTTGTAATCAGTCCTTTTGTAATCAACCCTTTTTTTCCCTTTTATGTGTTCTTTCTTGTGGATATCCTTGGAGGTGAATTTTGTTCATATTATCCTGAAAAAATCTGTTGACTTTATTAATGTAGGTGTCAATATTGAAAATAGATAAGAAGTTCCCATCAAGATGGTATGCATGTCTTTACTTTTGTTTTTTTTATTCTTTTGTTATATGAAGTTGTGGCTGTAATTCTTTGATTAATTGATGGACTATTTTATATTTAATAGACTTTAAGATTATTTGGTTAATTACTAAAATTATCCTTTGGAGGAGAATGATGGATTGTTAGTGTGGACAATTTAGAAGACATAATCAGAGGACATGTTTGGTTATGTTCCATTTGTATACTTGGTGGAACCTGTCTATTTTAACCAAACCCTTTGCTTGGTATTGTCGCGGTCTTGTATGATCTGGGAAGGTTTACTTAGTTTGATGCGACTTTCTTGATATGCTTCCATGGATCTGCAATGCTTACCGATTCATTCTTTTATCCATAATGCTGAAAGATAGGGTTTGAAAGCAAAGTGCCATCTGTTGTTTCATGTGAGAGTTCCAAATAAAGTGGACTAAACAAATAATTTGTTATAACAAAGAACCAGAAGGAAGCTCATGGGGAAGTAGGAAGAAGAAGACTCAACGACCGTACCTGAAATTCAAAATTCAAAACGACGCCGCTTAGCCTTTTATTTAATTGTTTTAGCTCATTACGTTTTATAGGTTACCAAAAACATGTTTTTTACGTTACTTAAACGAGAAGAGAAAAGGGCTATTTTTTAAGTGTCAGAATTCGTTTTTCTTTGCCATCTTCTCTGTAATTCTCTCTCTCTCACCTCCTTTCTGTTCAACTGCATTTCAATTAAACAATTCAGTGTAATACCATTACAATTTTAGTGTGGATTCACAGCTGAATTTGCATATTGTGAAGTACTTTCTTTGTTTTGTATTGTGGAATTGCTGGGTTTTGGTTGGAGGATCAATCAACCATTACAAGTGGTATCAGAGCAGCTACGAATCTAGGTATGGATACTCGAGCTAAGGTAGTAGAGGAACATCTAAAAAAATTAGATAGGGAAGTCGAAAGTCCGGGGAAAACGGTCCAAGGAGTGGGTAACAAAGTGGATACCTCATATCAAACCTTGAAGGTGTTGTGCAACAAGCATGACCAAATGGAGATGATGATAGGGGAATTGAATGCCAAGCACGAATCATTGGTAGCAATGATGGCCCAAATGATGGGGCAAAAGGGGAAATCTAAGGATAAGCGGGGAATGAACTCCCCAGTTCAAATTTACAGTGGTGAAGGGGCTACTCACACCACGCCTGCTATCCGCATCGAGTAGTAATACCAATGGAAGTGGAATGAGAGGAGGCGTTAAACTACTTAAGATTGATTTTCCTTATTTTAGTAGAGAGGGACCTAGAGAATGGTTGAGGAAGGCTGAGAAGTACTCTCAGATTCATCAAATTCCTGATGAAGTGAGGATTAGTGTTGCTGAAATGTATTTAAAGGGAAAGGCAGATGTGTGGTTTCATGGCTTCATCAGTAGCAACCCCAAAACTGATTGGGATTTGTTCTCCACAGAAATTTGCAAGCGATTTGTAGAAGTTACTGGGGAGGAAGCCATAGAAACATTCAGTAAGCTCAGACAGAGAGGAACTATGGCTGAGTATCAGGAAATTTTTGAGGACCTTAAATCCCAAGTGATGATGTCCCTTCCCCATCTGCCTGAATCATATTATATCTCCATCTTTACCGGTGGATTGAAGGAGGAAATGAGATCTATGGTGAAGATTATCAAACTAACATCCATCTCTCAAGCCCTTGAAATAGCCCTCTTACAAGAAAATACTATCCTAGCCTTAAACAAAAATTCCAAAAACCCAAATAAATTCAGTTATTCCCCTAAATGGCCGCAAAAACCTGCTGAAACAAACCAGAAAATTCAACCCACCAATAACACTGAACAGCCTCAAAGAACACAAACCAATCCCTTGAGATTCAAAACCATCACCCCCATAGATAACAAACTAAGCGAAACCTGGGATTATGCTTCAGATGTGATGAAAAATACACCTATGGACATGTTTGAAAAAACAGGATGTTGAACTTCATGTTAATAGATGATGAAGTAGAAAGGAAAGATGAAGGAGAGGAGATGACTGTTGAACAAAGTGAGGAAGAAGGGGATGAAGAAATTATGGAAATCTCCATTAATGCCCTATCTGGCAGTCTGAAACCAAAAACCATCAGGATCCCTAGCCAAGTTAAGAGAAGGAAGGTGTCAATTCTCATTGATAATGGAAGTACCCATAGCTTTATTGATGAGAGACAAGTGAAAGAGTTGAAGTATAAGACGGAGCCAACTCAATCTATAACAGTTACTGTAGCCAATGGGGACAAGTTACAGAGCATTGCCATTTGTAATCCCCTTACCTGGACCATGCAAGGGATAGAGTGTCAATTCCAGCTAAGGGTGTTGAGGTTAGGAGGAAGTGATATAGTGTTGGGGATAGACTGGCTTAGCCAGTTCAATCCAGTGGTATTTGATTTTCAACGAAGTAGCATTAGATTCTCATATCAAGGGATGGAAGTAGAATTGAAGAGTGCAATCTTAAATGAGGAGCTTCTGATGATAGAAGGAAGACAGATGAATCAATGGATTAGTAGACAACCATATGGAATTATAACCCAACTTCAAGCAGTCGAAGAGGAAATAGACACCTAGATACCTGCAGCAGTACAATCTGTCCTCAAGCAATACCCAGATGTATTTGTGGAACCGAAAGGAATGCCCCCAAGGTTTAATGATCACAAAATTCCCTTGAAAGAAGGAGCACAACCTTTCAAAATAAGGCCATGTAGATGCCCTTATGTACAGAAAACTGAGCTTGAAAAGATAGTGAAAGAAATGTTGGAGGTAGGGATCTCCAACAAAGCAACAATCATTTTGCCTCACCTGTACTGCTGGTTAAGAAGAAGGATAGCAATTGGAGATTTTGTGTGGATTACATGCAATTGAACAACTTGACTATCAAAGACAAATACCCCATGCCATTAATTGATGAGCTAATTGATGAGTTCTATGGTTCTAAGTGGTTTTCCAAGATAGATTTGAAGACTGGATATCATCAAATTCGAATGGCAGAAACTGATATCCATAAAATAGCCTTCAAAACCCACCAAGGATTATATAAATTTAAGGTAATGCCATTCGGCCTTACCAATGCCCCTGCAACATTCCAAGGCTTGATGAATGAGGTATTCAAGGCTTATCTGAGGAAATTTGTTCTGGTTTTCTTCGATGATATTTTAGTCTACAATCCTGACCTTAATTCCCATTTTCAGCACCTGACAACTGTGTTGGAAGTGTTGAGGAAACATAAGTTATATGCCAAGGAGACTAAATGTTCTTTTGGACAGCCATTGTAGAATACTTGGGACACATCATATTGGCTGCAGGAGTATCGACTGATCCACAGAAAGTGAAGGCTATGCAACAATGGCCTATGCCCAACAATGTGAAACAGTTAAGGAGGTTCCTTAGTCTAACAGGATATTACAGAGAATTTGTTAAATGATACGGGGTTCTGGCTAAACCCTTAACAGATCTTCTAAAAAGGGACAACTTCACTTGGAATAATGAGGCTGAGGTAGCCTTCCAAGCATTGAAAATAGTCATATGTAATACACCAGTCCTTGCATTACCAGACTTTAACCAGCCATTCATAGTCGAGACGATGTTTGTACCGGTGGGATGGGGGCAGTGTTGATTCAAAGGAAGAGGCCTATTGCCTATATGAGCAAGGGGATAAACAAAGAGAAATTAGGGCTTTCTATCTATGAAAAAGAATTATTAGCACTGGTCACAGTAGTAGGGAAATTGAGGTATTATCTAGAAGGGCACCACTTCATAATCTAAACAGATCATCAGTCCTTGAAATATCTTCTTGAATAGAAAATCACCACTCCCCTCCAATAGAAATGGTTGACCAAACTTCTTGGACTCAACTATGAAACCCAGTATAAAAAGGGGACTGAGAATATTGTGGCAGATGCCTTGTCAAGGCGGGAGGAAGCAGGAGCTGAGGTTACCTCTATATCTCAAGTCATTCCTACTTGGGTGCAAAAAGTGATAGATAGTTACCAGGGAGACGACATGGCTAAACAGTT